AAATTGGTCGGTACATCAGCTCCGATGAAGCTGCTTGGCGTATCTTCGGTTTTCTAATTCATGAACGGGATCCAGCAGCTGTTCAGGTAGCCGTCCATCATGAAAACGGTCAGCTTGTATTTTTCACGAACGAGACAGTGATTGATCGTGGTACAAATCCACCTAAATCTACACTCACTGCATTTTTTGAATTGTGTAATAGTACGGGTGATTTTGGTGCCTTTGCAAGAACATTACTCTATTCACAAGTACCACGCTATTTCACATGGGCTCAAACAAAAAAATGGATGCCCCGCAAGCAAGTTTCACCAGTTGATGCATGTCTCAATTTATTTAAATCGAACGCTTATTTACAGTTAATCCAAGACACACTGAGTGCTTTAATCTTCGACTGTTGTTGGTTAATGTTACTGGCCCATTATCATTATTATTATTTACAGTCAATCCAAGACAATTTAAATTTGAAGATACAACAGTTGTTGCCAGGGAACTTGGTATCTTACAAATCTATTGATTTTAAATTAATAATTTAATAAATAAACTATAATAACTTAAAAATAATATTGTTTGGCGTTTGTTATTTTTATTTTCCTTTTCGTTCATAGCGCTCCATGCCTATTTCACTCATATACCACATACTTACACACTTATAATAAGTAAGTTACTTTTTGTCTACACTAGAATTTATCTAGAAACTAGAAATAATTTATAAGGCAAAACAACGTTTGTCGGGTTATCTAGTATTTTTATATATATACTGATTTTAAATTTAAATTTTTACTTTAAATACTAAAAAAATTAATAATCTCCCATAGAGCTCTATAAAAGATACAAAGTTGTTTAAGTAAGATAAATTGGACTCCGAATAATTGAATATATGTAACCTCAGTTAAGTCTCTATTAGATACTGAGAGTTACATGATCGGATAAGATAACTAATTGGTTTTTTAATTTATCTATAATAAACGTATTACAGCTTTTTACCTCAATCTCATTACTAAATATTGTTGAGAGGTAGTTGAGTGGCGACTATACTTTCAAAGTTGTTAAGGATTTTATTTATCTTGGCACTACCGTAATGAAAAACAACGATTTTACCATGAAAACAAGAAAAATACTGTCACCAATAGCTAATACTTTGGGTTCAATAAGCAATTGGTATGTAGAGCACTCTCTCGAACGACAAAACTTGCGCTCAACAGATCGCACATCCCATTTGCCTTTTTGTATGGTCCAATAGCAAAGCGGTAATCACGGTATGATGAGAAAGCGCTAGAATTTTTCTAGGAAAAAGTGTTTCATACGTATTTTTTTCTAACTGCGTTTTTGTATCGTCCAGAAGTATGGACGTTATCATAGTATGATGAAACAGCGATAAGAGTTTTCCAGAAAACAATATTGCGTAAGATCTTTGGTCCTCTATGAGATCTTCAGCGCTGACTACCGCATCCGAATAAACTACGATCTGCATTAACTTTATCAAGACATTGTATTATTCAGTGAATTAATATCCAGCAGCTTCGCTGGCTGGTTATGTCGTGAGAATGAAAGACAATGCTCTAGTGAAGTGGGATATTTGAAGTAGCAATGAAAAGAAACATATGTAGACTTGGACAGTGTATCCGGCAGAGTAATCAAGTTCAGGGAGCATTAATAATAGGAGAAGGTGTACATGTAACACCACAGAAGCACTTGAAGAGGAGTATCGAAACCCAATACTAGGAGAAGGTGCGTATGCAGTACCAAAGAGGCAATTGGAAAGAAGTACCAAAACCCGTTAAAAGGTTATTATAACCAATCATGTAACTAAGTCAACTTCTTTTTTACTTAATGGTACAGATCAAAACGCTATAGTCAATGAAAAAAAAAAAAAAACAATTTAGTTGATTATATATGGTAAATATTATAAAAAGATAATGGTGATTAGAAACTTTATAAAATTTTGGACGTGTCTCTCGTGCAATACAAAAACTAATTTCAACTAGATACTAACCTTGATCCGGAAGTAGATAGCCATTTTTGTCCTGATTCATAAATTTCTCACGTTTTCTCCATTTAGCGCGACGATTTTGAAACCACACCTAAAACAAAAAAATATAAATATAAGTTATTAAATATAGAAAAAAAAACAAAAATCTAAAATTGATTTAAATTCAGATTAGCTACACAGCTAGATAAATAATTGTGACGTCCAATTATAAAACGTATAACAACCAAATAAGCTACTGAATGTTTCCACAGTTTTTGTTCCAAGTTCATATGAACTGTCAGTGGGTGCCCTGATAATAACCCTAAGCCAACAACAGACAATAGAATCCAATCGGAAGTAAGTTTCTCTGAACACCAATACCAGCACCAGCTTCAATTACCACCCAACCAATACAGAAGAACAATAAAGAAATGCACTTTTGACACCAGGCAGGCAATATGCGAGACTACAAAGGTGGGGGCTGTTAAGGACACACAGAAATACGTAAATACATAAGCACGCACACAATTATTAAATGCAATTTGCAGTACTTCGACTGTGTCGAAACTCCACTTCAAGCGAATTCAAATCAATTGTCTAAGGTATTATGAAGGTATGGAACTACTGGGGAACGAAAGTAGTACTGGTTGGGTACTGGTTGGGAAATGTAGAGAAAGAAAAGCAGTATGAAATGGTACACAAATTTTGTTGTTTACCTGGGGATGCACAATCAATTTGTTACATTTGTCAATTTAGGAAGGCTATTTTCATCAGGGAACGTTGTTTTCCAACTTCGAAGAAAAGGGTTACAGAAATTCATGTTACTAATCCTATCAGTACAATTTAAAAGCCAATGTGTAAGTAGCTTCAAATTGGCAATCTCTGGTATGTAAAATTGAGATACTTTGATAGGACTATTGTTGTTGTTGTTGTTGGTATTTAGTGTGTAGTGCTGTGTGGGTGTAACGAAAAACATTTCCGTTTACATGTGTCAGTGACAGGAGCAATTTGAAGACAACATTTTTGTACGTAGTCTGTAAGGAAATGTGTAGTTAGCAAGTACATTTTGGAAAGAAAGGGACTAAACTACACTGGGTTATTAAGAAAATTAATTGTTTGTAAGTTGATTTCTATAAAGGGTATAAAGAGAATTTTAACTAAATTGCATTAGATGTAAGAAAACTCCTTGTTTATAATGTTAAATATTTTGTTGTGAATATATTATGCTGTAGTGTACTTTCAACAGAAATTTGCATATAAGTTCAAGTTGTTATATTATTATGCAAGCACCCTGTATTGATGCTTGTTTGTTGACAACAATACATGCAACAGTGCGAGCAGAAATTAGTAATGATTTCCTCTTAATAATTGTACAAATTGATGTTGTTGACAATTTTGTTGCTGCCTCATAGGCATGAAAACTCAGATAACAACAATTACGAATCTTTTGAGCTTACACGGATGGCACTGACAGACATTAATCTCGGTAGGAATATATAAGTGTGGGTATAACATTAGATGCTAAATTTAATTGTTACAAGGACAATTATGTTGATACCAGTCATTCATTGTGAAACTTTTTCTCAGTGTAGAGTATGAGAGAAAAATTTTCACAGCACAATTATCTATTTAAATGCTTTCTTTTATTTGTGAATAAGATAAAAGCTTAAATGCAGTTTATATTGTAATTACTGAAACAAGCTGGAAATATGAATAAAGAGAATATAAAGGATGTCCTTTTTTAGATTTATCACACATGTACGATCAAATAAATTGTAAGCAATTAAATCTGAAACAATGAAATATAAGCATTCGTAGAAGAAGTAAGAGAGGTAAGTGGTTGTAGAAATAATATATTTATATATATATAACATTTTTATGTTATATGATAACAGTTGAAATTATAATCGAAATAGTGTTTTAGATCATTTTAATTATGATAATATTTTGTTAGACTTTAAATAAATTCAAACATTAATAAGAAAATTATTCATAGTTCACATAAATATTGTATAAATGCACATATAATGACTAGCAAAATCAAAATTTGTGAAAAAGTTTAAGGACTTTTTAAGGACTCAATTGTGCTCATAAGATACTGAAAGTTAAATTTTGCAGAATAGTTCGGAAGATTTAATGACAGACAAAACAAATTTAAAAACATAACCCAAAAAATTTTTACGAAATATTGAACTAGTGAACTAGACATAACACATAAACTCAGGTCCATATTTGTAGCGGATAAATAAATTTCTTATTTGGTGTATTTACACTTTATGGAACAAGAATTTGTTTTCATACTCAACTTGTACAAAAAAGGCACAATATTGTTCTGGTAATACATTTAACCTTCACTTATACCTCTCTTCTGGTAGAGGCCCTATGCTCTACTGGGCGATAAGGATATCTCCTAAATATATGCATTTCTACTCTTCTACTGTTTTTCTTTTCTACCCTCTATCAGTAACTCTATAATTTTACTAAAAACATACTTTTTTATTAAATCTTTGCAAACTATATCTAACACCACGCACACTTTGTAAAATCTATGTAATATTTCTGACATATTTTGAATTACTTCACAGTTAAAATTACTAATTCAATAAAATGTTAATTAATATTTAATAAATTTAAATAAAATACTTGTTTGGTATTTTTACTTTTATTATTATTATGTTAAAAGATTTTGCAATCCGACCTAGAGATCTATTGTGCGAGATCCCTTCATAAGATCCTTCGTGAGGTCTCTTCATGATTTCTATTTATTTCTCAAAGTTTAATTTTATCCTTAAATTGTGTTATTGAACCCACAATTATTTCTCAACCCGATGTAAGACACTTAACTAAATAATTCTTTCGTTTATAAACCAGTGTTAAATGAGCTGTGCTGGAACCTCTTTTGAGGTTTGAGGTCTTTTGAGGTTACATACTCTAACCTGCAAAACTTACATGTTTCATTAGAGTAAGTTCTCAGTACAGTTAAATCCAAAGGTTTATTTACTCCTAAGATTAAACACTAAAGTTCAGCTCTCCTTATAGTGATAGTTAAAACTATGTTGCGCTGCCAAAATTCCTGTAATGAGTCCTAATTTATTTTTTCTAAATTCATACAATCCATAAATCATGGAAATCATTAGGTTGAATGTTTTTATAACCGATATTGAATGTGATTGCGTAAGTCGTTGAAATTCTTTGGTTAAAAGTTCCCATAAGCGAATTTGATTATGACAGCGTTGGGGTATTATTCTAGTACAGCTGTTTAAATTTTGTAGATATAGTCTAAGTCTATGAAGGGAGCTCAATCAATTTTAAGGATAAGGTGCAAATGACATCAACATAGTATGATAGTAATAGTGCAAAATAAGAATTTTTTAACTATTATTTAATTGATTAATTAATTGAAATAATTTTATATAAGAATTGCATGTTTGGCTGACCATAGAGCTGTTACATATATTGCCAAATACCTATCATCAGTGGTTTAATAAAAATATAATAATAAAAATTCTTGCTGTTGCAATTCACTATTGTTTGATAAAACTTCTCTATTGAAAACAATAGTTTATATTAAGTATTTAGTTTCTTTTACCAAAACGTAAGTTAAAAATCGAAAAAAAAGGACTACACTTAACTTAAAGTATAATCCGTTAAATATTTTTTTTTCATATTTTGTACAACTTATATCATTCAAGTAAATAAAATTCTGATTAAAATATTTTACGAAATGTCGAATTTATTGATATGTGAGCAGCTTTTAAAAAACTCACGGCTTTTGAAACAACTAAACCAACAGAACCCAACAAAGTAACGTACTATTAATATTCTATTGCACATATCCTTGCCCATAGGGTAGCTACATATATGGCAAAAATTGTGTCCCTCCAAGTGTATTAAATCCGAAAATAATTGCCTTGTTGATGTTGTTAATATTATGATTTTGTTTGTACTGACAGAGATATTAAACTGACAAGCAGACAAACTGAATACACAGGACACGCAACAACGCGAGATATGTTACATTCTCAATGGTCGTTCAATATGCAAACACCACTCACCACTGGAACTGAACGCTTAGTCTTGTATTAAAAATGTTACTAAGCAGTGCATTTCGCCGTAAAGTGTGCCACGTTTTCTTTCACTTGTACGTATTGGTATATCCACTCGTGAATTTTTTTCTTTCTATACCAATTTAGTTCCACTAGATATGATCAATGACCAATTAAGATAACAAAAATCGTTTTTATTTAACAAATTTGCTAGATTTGTGATTTGATTGAGTGTGTGTAAGTGAATACGACTGAATACAAATCTGTTGAGAAATTTAATTTTATGCTTTTTCGGCTTTTTTAAAAATAAAGGGTATTTTTTCACATACGCTTTTATTGAGTACCTTAAATCCGAGCAATGTTAGGTCAAGATTAACTGTCAACAAGCAAACAATTTAACATTATTCCTTTGTGCTCGTCTGTTGTTAATGCGCCAACAATTCAAAGAGTATCAATCTGAAGTGCTGAAGAGATAATAGCTTACGAAAAAAAAAAAAAAGCAATAAAATTTTTGAAATTGTGTATTGAAAAATGCTTCTAGCAACCCTAATTAGGTAAAAAATAAACGTTTTCATACCAACCCAGTCTTTCATGTATTAACGCATGTGACTGCATACCCAACAACAACAGCAGAGAAGAAAAAAAAGAAAACATACCGCATTGACATCAGTTTTTCAGTAGAGTTAATAAAAATAGTGACACCATTACGAAAACCGAATTTAATCATTTGGAAAATCGTAATTTAATGCTCATTCCGCACTCGAATGCAAACAAAATTACCAGGCGTCGTTATTCTCCCATGCGAGGAACTCGTATGCTTAGACCAGACCTTTCTTTATGTGCTTTATATTATTATTTGCTTTATTTTGATTTTTAATTGTTCTCACCCCTCCTACCCTTGAAAAATATTATACTAAATACAAAAATACTTAGTTCTGCAAGTACCAAAAAAAAGAAAAAAATACTCCATTCACAAAAGAAGTTAGTTACCTTGGTAATGTTTTGTATACAAAATGATTTAAAGTGTTTTAAAGCTATTTACAAATTAAGTACTTTTTCACCCAATACACCCCTTACTTTGCACATAGGCTGCCATACAGGCTACGCAGTCTGTTTTCCCATACCCTGCGCAACTTTAATTTTATTTGATTTTATTTCATTAATAAATGAAAAAATACAAAAAAATATATATAACTGCAATCTACTAAATACGAGTACAGATTTTACTTTCGATTCTTATGCAAATTATCTACGCCACGCGTATCGCCGGAGTTCCACTTAATTCCCCGATTAACAATTGTTACAATTGTTGTAATTATTTGCATAATAAACACAATTGTATGCATTAAGCTACCGTATGCAGTATGGAGTATTGACTCCACTGATTGCAGATTGCCCGATTGCCCGATTGCCCGTTTGCCTGATTGCCAGCATTAATGCCCTTAACCATGCAGAATGTAATTGCTCGTAATTAAGCGTTAATATGCAAAATTATTAAAAAAAATTACAAGAAAAGCTCTGCTCATATACTGACACTTATTAGCAATTATGCACAATGCTTTAAATATGTAATTTTGTATTTATAAAGTACAGAACACCAATTATAAATACTTAAGAGTTAATGATTAACTGCTAATTAACACATTCAATCCGTGTAGCGAAGTGGAGAGAAAAAGAAGAAGAAGAGGCCCCTAAAAATGTACTCAAAGTATTTTATGATAAGGAAAACAGGACCCATTCGGGAAGTGTAAACAATTAAAACCAGCTTCTGAATTTTGATAGATCAATGAAGAGTGAAATAAGAGGCCCTTAAAAATGTAGTAAAAGTATTATATGATAAGGAAAAGAGAATCCATTCGAGAAGTATCAAATTTAATCAAAGAATTTTATGATAAAGAAAAGAGGTCTCTAAAAATGTACTCAAAGTATTTTATGATAAGGAAAAGAGGAACCATTCGGGAAGTGTAAACAATTAAAACCAGCTTCTGAATTTAGATAGATCAGTGAAGAGTGAA